CTTGTGGATCGCCTAGCGCGTTATTATGGGGCTTTCTAGAAAATGTCAATCTTGACTTTTGCCCAACAGCGCCACCTAGTATCGAACAGAAGAATTAAGCTTTCTAGATGCCCCACATTCGAACTTTCTGCGTCTGGTCGTTCAACGCCCGTATCTACTAGAATATTCTGGATGTTTCGGTGTAAAAGTGTATTTAAATACTGCTGCATGCCGCGATCGGGGCAGTATTGAATTTGGCGATACAAGTAAAGCTTCGGAGCGAAATGTAGTGAATCAGTGTGAATTAATTATTAGTGTCTTTGAAGTTTTAATTGGTGTTCGGTAATAAAAGTGTAAATTTTGGTAATTCAATCGGCAGCTTTTACTGTCACGAATCTCATGCTCGTAACACTACTTATACGATTGCAGCATGGCTCTACCACGCATATAAGCATTTCGTTCATTTATTCTCCTATTAAATGTACACAGCTGAACATATACTTTTCTATAGATTGATTCGTAAGTAGGATATTTTCCATAAGCTGGCACGCTTGGCGGGTGGATTATTACCACAGATTTTCTATTATTTTGAGCTGTTATCAGTATGATGTACGTCCTCTCCCAATCCTTAGTTTCAGATTTCTTTGTTGTCACTGACTAAATCCAAGGGACGATTCGTGTTAGCGGACACAACACGGCAAACGATTTTTATTCCACATTATATAATTTTTAATTGGCATAAAATATTTTTAGTTATTCAGTTATATCTTGAAATCGACAACGACCGTCCACTATTGGAAACTTTGTATTTAATTGTGCTTTTGTAAAAATTAGCAAAAAATATTTTGGAAGTTAATTAGTAAACTAGTGTCCGCTTAGGATGAATTGATATTCCATTCGTGTTCTTTTTATAAATGCAAATCATAGACGGTTTGTACAGTTATATCTGATTGAATAATAAGCTGGTATTATAAAATAAAATTTATTTGGAGTAACCTCAACTTTTGAACTAAGTAGGCCAGTGCGTTTCCACTTTAACACCTGATGGTAAGTGGCAATTCAGCCGACGACAGAAAAGCTTTTGCTTTCATTCTTTTATTACATTATATAAGGAGTTTTCTGTTGAACACAGGCCTTTATCGCAGATTGCCTCATAAGGGTATTTGCTTGGTTCATCTAGTGATCATGAATGCGAATGCTGATAATGAGGTAGCGGGTTCAATTTTAGGATTAGGCCGAAATCAGTAACACGGTTTTTCTGTCAAGAAATTCTCATTCCTTTTCCCTCCATTTCCATTTTCATTATCCATTTCCCTGTGCCTCGGAAAGCATTTGAAACCGTTGGTTCTAAGTCCGATCACTCTTCAGTCATGTCGAATTGCCGTCCGATCGCACTATGAGAGAGAAGAAATAGATACATCCACTGCACTATATCGTTACGTGGATGTCGTAAAATATATACAAGGAAAACTTTAATAGAAGATGGGGGGCAGCATCTTCCTGATAACAACTCAAAATGAATAAAAAAACCCGGCTACCAAGTGAAGCAACTAGGGTAACAAACGTGGTAGAGATATGCCACATTATGGTCGCAGAACAAATGGGTTATCTTGACCGTGGAAGAACCACACTCTTATAAAATACCAGCGTAAAATAGCAGCTTAATGCCACTGCCGCGTTTCATATGGTGATCGAGAACCGGAGACTCTTTTCACTGAAAACGAAACAATCTAAATTTGTGCTTAGGGATGACAACGCTTTTACATTGTGATTCTACATTGAGGATAGAAGTAGATGTCTATGGCTACAGCATCGACTTACCATCAGGTGACATGTGCATCCGTTTGTCACCCTTATTTAAAAAAAAACTATCTCTATAAAGCAATCCATGGGGAAGGCCCTTGTTTAGTAGTGGATTTCTGAAAGGCTGCAAAAATGAATAAGAGGTAGACATATATGAGTTAATCACCAGCGTTTAGGAAGCATTCTTATGAAAGTATTTCTCAGTCTGTATATTGGTAGGTTGGTCAGTGAAGAAATGATATCTTCGCATTTGTACTGCTACACTCGCCATCAGTATAATAAAACAATATGTTTCTGCTTTTTGATTCACAATTGATAATAGATTTATTATTATTATTATGTGGTATTAGTAGTGTATTCTCATCTGGTTGGGCTGAATAAATATATAAAAAGAAATGATAAATATGCATAAATAGATATTTCATATAACAGCACAAATAAATAAGTAATACATAAATAAATAAAAGCCAAACCAGATGGAGGCCCTCGGCAGGGGAGATCAAACGGCCGAGGGTTAAGGGAAAAAAGGGAGAGAAACCGGCGGACGATGCGGGCGGTATCGAGGAGCACCGCCTTCTGCATTTGAGCCTGTAGCGGTCCGTCACGGAGTCCCAGCCTCCTCAGATGACCCGAGAGGCTGACTGGGATTAGCCCGTTTGCAGAAACGACTACAAGAATAATTTCAGTCGGCAGACCACCCCACATGTCGGTCACCTCGTGAGCCAGGTCCAGATATTTTGTTCGTTTATCTGTTTCAGCTTTCACGAGGTTCTCGTCATACGAAATGATAATGTCGACCAAAAATATTCTTGACTGTGCCCGGTCCATCAGCACAATAGGCTTTATTCGCAAGAATAGTCCTGTCTGTGATGATGGACCGGTCCCAGTAGAGCCTGGCGCGATCATTTTCGAGCACGGCTTCCGGCAAGCACTTCTAATACGGCAATTTTCGGTCCACGAGACCGTATTTCAGAGCGAGCTCCTGGTGAAAAATCTTGGCTACTAGGTTGTGCCTGTGCAAGTACTCAGAGTTAGAAATCGCAGAACAACCAGAGATAACATGCCTAAGTGATTCGCCGGGATGGCGACAAGCTCGACAGATGTCGACGGTGCCATCCTTTAGGATGTATCTCCGATAGTTGTTGGTCTTAATAACCTGATCCTGTATTGCACAGACAAAACCCTCGGTTTCCTCGAAGGGGTCACCAAAGCGTAGCGAGTAGAGGGAGGCTACGGTGTCTGTGAAAGGCTCATGTAGAGCCTTGTAAAACCTCCCGTGGAGCTCCTTCTCCTTCCATACGGTCTCCCGGTCGGAAATGCTCTGCACTGCCGGGTCATGCCAATTGCTCGTTGGCTAAGGATAGAGGGGTAAGTCCTTTATCACAAAAAATGACGTCCTTATAGAATGGATCATCCGATCTCACCAGGAAGTAATTACGGAGGCTGCACACTTCGCGATTATGCATGGTGAGCGCGCTCAAAAAGCCACGCCCACCATGCTTTCGCGGCAAGTACACCCTAATTACCCAACGATCTCGGATGATGCATCCTATGGGACGTCATAGTAGTGCGGAATTTTCTATCCAGGGCGTTAAGTTCAGTCTGAGTCCACCTGAGTATGCCAAAGTTATAAATGAGGACAGGCATGACCCAACTGTTATATGCGTGTGCCTTATTCACACCAGACAAAAGACTGTTGAGCACTTTGGTCAAGCGTGCATAAAACACGTCGCAAACTGACTGTTTCATACCAGCCTCATAGATACCGATGTTCTGTGACACATCCAGGTATCGGTATGTTTCAGCCTCGGAAACGGTACTTAAACTGATGGGCATAGATAAGTCTATTGCCCTCAGAGTTAGCAACCCTTCCCCTTTCAACATGGAGGACCGCACGTTTATCCGTCCTCAGCTCCATTCCAATAGAATTGCTAAATTCACAAGTGAAGTTTAGCAATTCCACAAGATGGGAGCGACTGGAGGCGAATAACCTGAGGTCATTCATATAAAAAAGGTGGGTCACTTTTATACCTCCTTTCCGAAACTGAAAACCCCTCCCCGAGCCCTCCAGTAAAGTACTGAGAGGTTTCAAAGAGAGGCAGAACCAGATTGGACTCAGACAATCGCCTTGGAAGATACCCCTTCTTATCCTTATGTGACTTTCCGTAGCCATCATCCGCTCGCCCAGATGACAAAGGATGGTACTCCACTGCCCCATACATTGCTCGAGGAAGTCTCTAACTGTACAGTCTATCTTGTACTGCTCGAGGACTCTCTTTAGCCATGTATGGGGCACCGAGTCGAATGCCTTTCTGTAGTCTATCCAGGCGGCGGAGAAGTTCCGACGGTTGCGTTTCACCACTTTGCCAATGACCGTGTCAATGAGAAGTGGTTCCTTGGTTCCACGACCACCGCCCCGACATCTATTTTAGCGCGCGACATCACCTGATTTGAGTCCAGGTGACGAGTGATTCTCGCGCTCAAAATGGATGTTATTGTCTTTTATATGGTCGGTAGACACGTGATGGGGCGGTATTTGCTCGGGTCTGTGGTATCCTGGTCTTTAGGAACCAAATGAGTGATCTCAGTAGTGAAGAGGCTCGGGAGCGACTTCTGGTTGAAAGCCTCTTGGAACTGCCGGGCGAGCACAGTGTGACACACCACAAACCCCTTCAGCCAGTAGTGATGCAGCCCGTCGAGTCCCGGACTTTTCCAGTTTGGAGCCCTACAGACCGCCTCGGCTACGTCATCCGGCGTTATAACCACGGGGTTCTAGGGGCGTTATACTCGCACAATGACTCGCCACAACTTCCGTCCAAGAGCCCTCGCTGTGGTTTACGGGCTCTGACCACAAGCCGCGCCAGAATGTTACAGTGTCAGCCTGATTCGGTACTGGGCCCGTTCCACTTACCATTGGTCGCTCCAATGCCATAGAGCCTCTTCCGATCACTCTGAAAGAGACGATTCTGGTTGAACCCAGTTGATCTCTCGATATATCACAGAATCTGCTTTCCCCAAGCAGCAATTCTCTGCTTCAGATCATCTATGCGCTCCGTCAGTTTTTGCATTATATCCGGCTGGGACAAACTGACATTTGTCCCAGCAAATGCCATCCTGAATGTGCGCACAATTATTGGCCTGTTATTGCCTGATCTGAAGCATATCAGTCTGCCGATGAGAGCTCTAGCCTTTGCGATACGCTCCTCAATTCTTTTTCTCTATACTGGGATAGCGCTACTTTGGCCAGTAGCGAGTCCAGTCGTGGAAACCTTGGCGCCTATGATACGGCAGACTGCCAGCGCGGCGCCAAAAAGAATTGAGTCCGTATCGCAAAGGTCCCGGCTGGCTTCCAAATAGGTCCCCAGCATTGGGTTCAGAGCCCTCACGACAGCCCGATTCCGCTTGCTTAGGGCTACGCGGGGCAGTCGCGTTCGATTTTCGAGAGGCGTACTGCACGTTTCCATAATAGCCTCTTCCAATGTACTCCTCATTTGCTCTATTTCTAGTTCCTGGACGAGTGTTCCATCATCATTTGAATCAGCCACCACTGGGGTATTCACGGTGGTATCCACGTGTGCGAGTTGTTCTGCAACTTGTGGCACCGCATCCTCAGCCGTAGCATTTTCATTTGATGAGGGAACAGCCTCACGTCGTAGCCGTTCGAGCTTGGCGTCATCAAATATATTTGAGCGCAAGATATACCGAACTCGGTCTGCCAAGTTTTGCTCGGTGACGGTTACAGATGGCTCCAGCTCAGCAAAAAGTAGATGCATCCTTGCCCGATACGCAAAACCTCCAATTTATCCCCCTATCGCCCTATCATACGCCCGCAATGCGTTGCTATTCATTGAGATTGTCCAACGCATGCGGCGTATTCCACCAGTGGCGGGTGCCGATTGTTGGACCCGCGAAGACCGTGCCGTCACCAAGCCTGCTGGTGGGGATGATGGATGCGAGGGGCTACTAGGTGGTCGAGCAGCACCTCGCGCTCGGCTGTCGGTTCGCATGCTGTCACGTCCAGCTCCAGCTCTAGACGCGCCCCGGCGACCCCCAGGCAGCGGCCCTTTGCGCGTTCTATCAAATTCCATCATCCATTTTAATGGGCGTCATTCAACGGGAGACGCACAGACCCGGCGCCGTTTCATGGTGAGGCCATGTGCACAAGCGGGCCTTTGCACCTTCAACTTATGCCGAGGCACGGCACTAACACCTCTTGGCAAGGTGCTGACTGACTGCGCTCACGTAGTGGTTTTGTCACGTAACCGTTACGTCAGCGGGCGATGGGGTCGTCACTTCCCTACGCCTATTTATTATTATTAATATGTATTTTTATCACATATATTATCACAAAACTATAACATTATAAATACAATCTATATAAATAATATTATTATTTCGGTTATTATCCACCGCAGCATGGAATTCTAAGCCATCGATTAAGTTAGGCATCCAAATATAGGAACCTTCTTACTATTCGAGCCGTATTTAATAAATACGAAGAGAAAGGATAAATATACATAAATATCAATAAAATAAAATAAATACAAAAATACATAAATAAATAAAAGCCCAACCAGATGGAAGCCCTCGGCAGGGGAGACCAAACGGCCAAGGGTTAGGGAGAAAGGGAAAGAAACTGGCGGACGATGCGGGCAGTATCAAGGAGCACCGCCTTCTGCTTTTGAGCCCGGAGCGGTCCGTCACGGAGTCCCAGTCGCCTCAGATGACCAGAGAGGCTAACTGGGATTAGCCCATTCGCAGAGACGACTACTAGAAAGCGCCGAACAACCGGAGATGACATGCCTATTATTATTATTATTATTGTGGGGCATCTATATAGTTTTCTCATCTGGTTGGGTTATATAGATATATAATTATAAATGAAAATGAAAAGATAAATATACATAAATATCAATAACATTAAATAAATATAAAAGTACATAAATAAGTAAAAGCCCAACAAGATGGATTATTATTATTTGTGGGGTATCTATATATTTTTCTCATCTGGTTGGGTGCTATAAATATATAATTATAAATGAAAATGAAAGGATAAATATACATAAATATCAATAAAATAAAATAAATATAAAAGTACATAAATAAATAAAAGCCCAACCAGATGGAGGCCCTCGGCAGGGGAGACCAAACGGCCGAGGGTTAGGGGAAAGGGAAAGAAACCGGCGGACGATGCGGGCGGTATCGAGGAGCACCGCCTTCTGCATTTGAGCCTGGAGCGGTCCGTCACGTAGTCCCAGCCGCCTCAGATGACCCGAGAGGCTAACTGGGATTAGCCCGTTTGCAGAGACGACTACAGGAATAATTTCGGTCGGCAGACCACCCCACATGTCGGTCACCTCGTGAGCCAGGTCCAGATATTTTGTTTGCTTGTCTGCTTCGGCTCTCACGAGGTTCTCGTCATACGGGATGGTAATATCGACCAAAAATATCCTTGACTGTGCCCGGTCCATCAGCACAATATCAGGCTTATTCGCAAGAACAGTCCTGTCTGCGATGATGGCCCGGTCCCAATAGAGCCTGGCGCGGTCATTTTCGAGCACGGCTTCCGGCAAGTACTTGTAATACGGCAATTTCCGGTCCACGAGACCGTATTTCAGAGCGAGCTCCTGGTGTAGAATTCTGGCTACTAGGTTGTGCCTGTGCAAGTACTCAGAGTTAGAAAGCGCCGAAAAACCGGAGATGACATGCCTAAGTGACTCACCGGGATGGCGACAAGCTCGACAGATGTCGACGGTGCCATCCTTTAGGATGTATCTCCGATAGTTGTTGGTCTTAATAACCTGATCCTGTATTGCACAGACAAAACCCTCGGTTTCCCCCGAAGAGGTCACCGAAACGTAGCCAGTTGAGGGAGGCTACTGTGTCTACGAAGGGCTCATGTAGAGCCTTGTAGAACCTCCCGTGGAGCTCCTTCTCCTTCCATACGGTCTCCCGGTCGGAATTGCTAAGCACTGCCGGGTCTTGCCATTGCTCGTTGGCTAAGGATAGAGGGGTAAGTCCTTTATCACTAGAAATGACGTCCTTATAGAATGGATCATCCGATCTGCCAGGAAGTATTCGCGATTATGCTGGTGAGGCGACCCATGCTTCCGCGGCAAGTACAGCCTCATTACCGACGATCTCGGATGATGCATCCTATGGGATCATTGTAGTGCGATTTTCTATCAGGGCGTTAAGTTCAGTCTGAGTCCACCTGAGTATGCCAAAGGTATACATGAGGACAGGCATGACCCAGCCGTTATATGCGTGTGCCTTATTCACACCGGACAAAAGGCTGTTAAGCACTTTGGTCAAGCGTGCATAAAACACGTCGCAAACTGACTGTTTCATACCAGTCTCATCGATACCGATGTTTGTGACATAAGGACAAAAGACATTCGGAAAGGGTCCTTAAGTTGACGGACATAGATAAGTCTACGCCCTCAGAGTTAGCAACCCTTCCCCTTTCAACATGGAGGACCGCACACTTATCCGTCCCCAGCTCCATTCCAATGGAATTGCTAAATTCACAAGTGATGTTTAGCAATTCCATAAGATGGGAGCGACTGGAGGCGAATAACTTGAGGTCATCCATATAGAAAAGGTGGGTCACTTTTTGTCCCTCCTTTCCGTAGATCCCCTCCCGGAGCCCTCGTAAGGTATGAGAGGGTTCAGAGAGGGGCCAGATTGGACTCAGACAATGTGGAAGATACCCCTTCTTATCCTTATGTGGTTCTCCGCAGCCATCATCCGCTCGCCTAGATGACAAAGGATCGTACTCCTCTGCCCCATACACTGCTCGAGGAAGTCTCTAACTGTACAGTCTATCTTGTACAGCTCGAGGACTCTCTTTAGCCATGTATGGGGCACCGAGTCGAATGCCTTTCTGTAGTCTATCCAGGCGCCGGAGAAGTTCCGACGGTTGCGTTTCACCACTTTGCCAATGACCGCGTCAATGAGGAGTGGTTCCTTGGTTCCACGACCACCGCCCCGACATCCATTTTGAGCGCGCGACATCTCCTGATTTGAGTCCAGGTGACGAGTGATTCTCGCGCTCAAAATGGATGTTAGTGTCTTGTATATGGTCGGTAGACACGTGATGGGGCGGTATTTGCTCGGGTCTGTGGTACCCTGGTCTTTAGGAACTAAATGAGTGATCCCAGTAGTGAAGAGGCTTGGGAGCGACTTCTGGTTGAGAGCCTCTTGAAACTGTCGGGCGAGCACAGAGTGACACACCATGAACCCCTTCAGCCAGTAGTGATGCAGCCCGTCAAGCCCCGGACTTTTCCAGTTCGGGGCCCTACGAACCGCCTCAGCTACGTCATCCGGCGTTATGATGACGGGGTCCATGGGCGTAATACCCGCACACTGACTCGCCACAACTTTCGTCCAAGGGCCCTCGCTGTGGTTTACGGGCTCTGACCACAGGCCGCGCCAGAATGCTACAGTGTCGGCCTGATTCGGTGCTGGACCCGTTCCACTTACCATTGGTCGCTCCAATGATTCATAGAGCCTCTTCTGATCACTCTGGAAGAGACGATTCTGGTTGAACCGTGTCGACCTCTCGGTATATCGCCGAATCCGCTTTCCCCAAGCAGCGATTCTCTGCTTCAGATCATCTATGCTCTCCGTCAGTTTTTGCGTTATATCCGGCTGGGACAAACTGACATTTGTCCCAGCAAACGCCATCCTGACGGTGCGCACAATTCTTGGCCTGTTGTTGCCTGATCTGAAGCATATCAGTCTGCCGATGAGAGCTCTAGCCTTTGCGATACGTTCCTCAATTCTTCTTCTCCATGCTGGGATAGCGCTACTATGGCCAGTAGCGCGTCCAGCCGTGGAAACCTTGGCGCCTATGATACGGCAGACTGCCAGCGCGGCGCCAAAAAGAATTGAGTCCGTCTCGCAAAGGTCCCGGCTGGCTTCCAAATAGGTCCCCAGCATTGGGTTCAGAGCCCTCACGACAGCCCGATTCCGCTTGCTTAGGGCTATGCGGGGAAGTCGCGGTCGATTTTCGAGAGGCGTACTGCGCGTTTCCACAATCGCCTCTTCCAATATACTCCTCATATGCTCTAATTCCAGTTCCTGGGCGACTGTTCCATCATCGTTTGAATCAACCACAACTGGGGTATTCACGGCGGCATCCACGTTTGCGGGTTGCTCTACCATTTGTGGCGCCGCATCCTCAGCCGTAGCATTCTCATACGACGAGGGAACAGCCTCACGTCGTAGCCGTTCGAGTTCGGCGACACCAAATATATTTGAGCGCAAGATATACCGAACTCGGTCTGCCAGGTTTTGCTCTGTGACGATTAAAGATGGCTCCAGCTCAGCAAAAAGACGATGCATCCTAGCCCGATACGCCAAACATCCAGTTTCTTCCCCTTTTGCCCTAAAGTACGCCCGCAGTGCGTTTGCATTCATTTCTTGTGACCAACGCATGCGACGTGCTCCACCAGCGGCGGGTGCCGCTTGCTGAGTCCGAGAAGACCCAGCCGACACCAAGCCTTCTGGTGGGGATGATGGATGCGGAGGGCTGGTAGATGACCGTGCAGCTCCTCGCGCTCGGCTGGCGGCCCGCATGCTGCCGCGTCCAGCGCCAGCTCCAGACGCGCCCCGGCGACCCCCAGGCAGCGGCCCTTTGCGCACTATCTTTTTATGCATCATCCATTATTTGGGCTTCGATTAACGGGAGACGCCCAGGCCCGGCACCGTTTCGTGTGTAGCCATAAGCACAAACGGGCCTCTGCACCCTAAATTCTGCCGCGGCACGGCGCTCACACCTCTCGCAAGGCGCTGACTGACTGCGTTGACGTAGCAGTTTTGTCACTTAACTGTTACGTCAGCGGGCGATGGGGTCGTCAATTCCCTACGCCTTATTATTATTATTATTATTATTATATTATTATTATATTATTATTATTATTATTTACGGTAAGTGTTTTCACTTCTCAGCTCTAGGCTTATTATTATTATGTGTGGGGTATCTATATAGTTTTCTCATCTGGTTGGGATGTATAAATATATAATTATAAACGAAAATGAAAGGATAAATATACATAAATATCAATAAAATAAAATAAATACAAAAATACATAAATAAATAAAAGCCCAACCAGATGGAAGCCCTCGGCAGGGGAGACCAAACGGCCAAGGGTTAGGAAGAAAGGGAAAGAAACCGGCGGACGATGCGGGCAGTATCAAGGAGCACCGCCTTCTGCATTTGAGCCCGGAGCGGTCCGTCACGGAGTCCCAGTCGCCTCAGATGACCAGAGAGGCTAACTGGGATTAGCCCATTCGCAGAGACGACTACAGGAATAATTTCGGCCGGCAGACCACTATTATATTATTATTATTATTATTATTATTATTCTTTATTTCAGAAATTTCTTTCCATAGAGTGGGTTAGTAATTACGAAAAGAACTTATAAGCTAGTTACATACTGTATTACTATACACTATCTACTTTAAATTTACCAGAGCAGGTCTCGAGCCGATATGGAAGCTGTTCCAGTGCCTCAAGATAGGACAGCAACAGCGACTCTCTATCGCCGCCAGGAGGCTGTTGGAGCTATCCCGGACATGGCGCCATGCGGAGGCAACCTGTTTCCGCATGATAGCTGGGAAACTATCTATGCGAGCCTCAGCAAACATTGCCGACGTGCTGCAGTACCGAGGTAGCCCCATCAGCATCCTGAAGCCGTTAATATATTGGACGCGCAGGGTTGTGGGCGTCCTCCGTGTATACTCAACCCGTAGACTGCAGGTGTAAAAGGACTGACAATAGGCTCTGAATAGAGTTTTTTTAACTTCTATATTACAGCCTGCAAATCTACGGGCGAGCACATTCACTCTCATCAGTTAGAGCCCTGCGTTCCCTCTCTGTCCGACATATTTTCAGTAATCCAGTGTCCCAGGTATTTGAAACTTGTCACTCTTTTCAGTTGTACACCTTCAAAAGCGACAGTGGGAAAATTGTAGCTCTTATATTTTGATTTAAAAATACGATCTCACTTTTCTTGAGTGGTAGGCCATGAGCCGTTGCATACTTCTCACAGATACTGAGTAGTTTTCTTAGACCACTAATTGATGGGCTCAGTAGCACCATATCGTCGGCGTAACTTATGTTGTTACATGCAATATTATCAATAGAGCAGCCGACTCCAATACCACCGAGTTCGCCAATCAGACTGTTCACATAGAGGTTAAAAAGTGCAGGAGAAGATAGTCCGCCCTGTTTTACTCCGCACTCTAGCCCATACGCCTCAGATTGTACGCCTGCCCACTTCACCTGATTCTGTTGATTGTCGTACCAATACTGGAATAGACTTATTAAGTCATTAGGAAAGTCATTAGTTTCAGTAGCCAGCTTCTTCCAAAGTATATCGTATTTAACCGTATCAAAGGCCTTTGATGGTCCAAAAACAGCCTATAACAGGTGTCCTACGATTTGTGTAGTAACGTACGGTGTGCTTGAGACAAAGTACAGCACTTTCTGTGGATAACTGCGGTCTAAAACCAAATTGTGCATCACACAGATTAATGGATGCCTGTAACATCCTCTCAATCAGACCGTCCATCACTTTCGCTATAGTAGTAGCCAGGGCAATAGGTCTGTAATTGCTTTTGTCCGACGAATCTCCTGTTTTACTTTTCAGTACTGGCACAACAATCGTTTTCATAAAATCAGAAGGTAAGTACGAGTGTCCTATGCAAAAAGTAAATAACATGGCCAGGACACGTGGAAGGTGGACACCAGCATATTGCAGGTGTTGGATACTGATACTGTCAAACCTGGAGATTTACCGCGTGTAATTTTTTTAATTACGTCTTTAACATGTTTAGCCGTAAAGCACGTGGTTTCATCTCCATCCCGGATACAGGTAGTATCGAAATTCTGCGATGATTTTTGATTGGTACACTTAAAGTGATATTTAAAAATATTTGCCACCTTGCTCGCATCACTTTCACCATCTATACTCGCAGGGACTCTCAGCCTTTGATTCATTTTGTTGGTTTGTTTCCGAAATTTGGAAAAGTTTTTAGTTTTAATATGTGTAGCCAAAATTTGCATTTTTATTTTTTGTTCGTTATTCTGACACCATTTTATTTTTGATTTAAACAGTTTTCTACTTTCTTTAATTTTTTTCGTAATAAATTCCAATTTTATGTTTTCCATATAATCCCACATATGAAAGCACATTCGTGCATCACTGTGAAATGGTTTAACATATTTATTCCAACCCAAAACATATTTATTTCTACATTTCCTATACTCATGAGTCGCTATTGTTGCCCCTCTCAAAGTACATATAATGCTGTCATACATTTTATCGATTATTAATTTATATTATGTTCAAAAATAGAACAGTGGTGATGATTAGCACAAGACATAAACTCTTCAGGAAAATCTATATATCTAAGCTTTTCATAACAAATTTCACAATATTCTTTTATTTGATTTTGATTTCTTACACCCCATACAGCTTTATCAGATTTAAGATTACATTCTTGTACTTTATAACTTATTTTTCCCATATCAATAGTTATTTCAAGTGGAAAATGCTTAGACCAAAAAACATCATAAAGTTGCCTAATATTTACAACAGATTTCATGGCAGACTTAGTTGTAATGCAATGATCCAGCCAGCATAGAGAACCATTTATATCACTTATATACGTAAACGTATCATATTTTTTAAATAGTCATAGTCACTACATCCCATATTTGTTCAAAACAAAAATCACTCATTTCATTAAAAAACAATTCGCCAGGATGCGCATTAAAATCTCCTAATATAAATACAGAATCTATATTAGTACATTCTATATAGCATTTATTTCACTGAGACAGCTTGTAAATTCTATTAAATTGTCCCACAAGTCGCAGAGCATATACGTTGATGAATAACGTAGTCCTATCGTCCACAATAGTTTTAATCGCGGCCAAACCTAATGAGTTACACTGCACAATAGACACTGATTTAAACTAAGGTTTAAGCCACATAATGGCAACACCACCGTACGGACGACCTCTAAACAATCCGTCACCGGTGTTAACCGCAGACTTACTGCAATATTCAAATTGTGGATGGATTCCCACGATGTAGGCTGCATCATACGGTAACAGCCATATCTTCTGCAATGCTATGATATCCGCAGATTTACATAGCTCTCGTATGCCCTCGACTGATCTTGTGACTGATTTACAATTGAAGGATATAATTTTCAAGTATTTACTATCCATTATTTAGGTGATACAAAATAATTACTGTGGTTTTTACCTGCTGTACAGTTTCTGAAGTTAATATATTTGCGAAATGATATTCCCTCAGGCCATAGACTACTATCAAGAAATATATCAATTTTATATCTTGGCACATAAACCTTAAAAGCATTATATTCACGGTCATACTTCATTTTAATCTCTTCTAAAAATACTTTAACTCTTGTTCTCTTAAATATATAGTGTATAATACACTGTTGGCAAAGAAACATCATCCGCTGATGTTTCTTTGTCAACATTATTGATAAATAATGGGATCTTAATGTCGGCTGCTTTAAAATTATCTGTAGTCTCTGTACTTGCTTTTCCTTTCATCCCTATAAACCTATTCTTCAATCTTCTTCTTTGCACAAATGTCCATTCTTCGTCTGGTTTCTATATCTTCCGTTCATTTTCTTTAACGGTATCAACATAAGATAGCTTGTTTACATTAGTAGATGTCAAAGTGATCGGGTCCCTAGCTGGCTCATTAACATACTTCACTAGGTTCGAAACCGCAGTGCAAAGGCTACTATTATACTACTATCTGATGTGCCGGCGTTGCTGCTGGCGGGCAGCAGGTGACGCGCAATAGTAGGAGTGTGCGAAACCGCAGTATTAGCCTTAACATGTCCGCTTTGCTCTTGAGGTGGAGTAAGAGAGCTTTGTTGTTGAGGTACCTGACTTAGCTTTTTTTTTTTTATAGAAGAGGGGGCAAACGAGCATGTGGCTCACCTGATGTTAAGTGACTACCGCCGCCCATGATCAACCGCAACACCAGGGAAATTGCAGGTGCGTTGCCGGCCCTTTAGAAAGGAGTAAGCTCTTTTCTTGAAGGTCCCCAGGTCGTATCGGTCCGGAAAAATCACCGGTGGTAAATTATTCCACAGAGAGGTTGTACGCGGAAGAAAACTCCTTTTGAAACGTACAGTGGTGGACCGCCAAGCATCCAGATGGTGTGGATGGTATCGGGACATTTGCCGTGTAGTGCGTTCACGAAATTTGGCAGCTGGGATTAATCCGAACAATTCCTCAGAGCACTCCCCGTGATAGATGCGATAAAATACGCAAAGAGATGCAACATCTCTTCGCAGCGCCAGTGAATCGAGCCGATCGGAAAGCACTCGGTCGTCGACGATTCGAGCCGCTCTGCACTGGATGCGGTCAAGTGGAAGGAGCTAGCTGACTGTTAATATCGCACAAATCTAACTCGACGCTATTTTCGGGTGATAATGTAATGTGTGGTAAGCCAATGGTACCACTATCACAGTGCGAATCTAATAAATAGGCATTCCGTTTCGTGTTAATGTTGGTGTATTCAAAATTATTAACAATAGATGTATTTTTCATATCTGCAATCTCTCGTTTCATACTGCTTTATATCAATGTAATTTTGTTT